CTCTGTCCCAAAGGATTATTTAAATGCCTACACACTTCATCCATCAGTAACATCAAAACTCTTGCCCTGAAAAGCAGAGCATGGATGCATCCATTTCAACCTCACTAACATTTGGTGGAATTTAGCAAATACAGACGCTAACAGACAGCAACTACACAGTGTACAGGGAACCCGATGAACACAGGTAACAGGGAATTCACAAAATTAAAGAATCCTCAAGGTCAAACTAAAGTTATAAAGAGCACGGCTTTAGAGATTATAAATGCCATGCAAGCAGAACTACAGTCTTACCTAATTACAGCATCTCAATCACACAAGTAGGAAAGTTTTCCTGGAAGTTTTTCTAGTGCAAGGCTAGCATTACTCTAAGATAAAAGTCATAGGCGAGGCACAGAGTTCAAGTTCTGAAAAAGGGTTAAAGGATGCAACAATGAATGCTTTAAGAAAAAAGTGCTTTTCATTCACTTCTTTGAAGGAAAAAGGGAGCAAGCAAATTCCTGTATAAAAACTGCAAAAAATCAAATATGATGATCATTACAAACTGGATAGTTTTAATCAAAAATTTTTAGGAAAAACAATCATTCCCGCCCAGGTAATTTTATCAGTTGTGGTAAATTTGATCAAAACTTTGTGGAAGGCTCAATAAAAGTAAAAAAATATGTCTACAGGAACAAACCCCAAATGACAACAATATCTGGAGGTTTAAACAAAACCTGTTCGGTTACTGCCAGCAATATGCTGATATGGTTACTGGGGGTCATGGCAGAGGAAGAGCCCCAGGTGCTTGTTTCCCTTCAAGTAAAATCCACTCTGTTAAGACATCGTAAGTTTTCCTGCCGCCACGGCTTGAAGTTAACTGCAAATGCACCCACAGATAAAAGGTAAAGTGAAACTACACAAGGTCTCACCTTCTCCTCTCCCTAGACCCTCTGCTCAGCCCGTTCAGTAAGCTAACCTAGCCAAAAAACAGCTCATGTTTTCTTTACCCGATCAGCAAATGGAACGGGCTCACACGAAAGGGCCTGGTGAACTCCAGACCACTGCAAGGTGGCATGTGGAAATCGGGAAGGAAGCATGAACTCCCCCATCCTGCTGGCAGCAGTAAGCTATTATACTGTCTCTCAAGTAACTTCACCCTTCTTTTAAACTTGTGTTAGCCAATCTGGTTCTCCCAACAGCTATTTAAGCCCACAGACGGGAGGCACTAGTTCTTTCAGTAGGAGTGCTGGCTGTGAAGTATTTGCCCAAAACCCTCCCACCGCACTCAAAGCTGCTGCAGGGAAGTTTGCCTTTCAGGTGACACACCAGTCTTGGTTACTAACTACCCTGACGCCAGAACAAAAATTATTTTTTGTCTACGAGCAAAACTGCATATATTTAAAATAAAAGAACGCACCTAGGGTACCTCTAAACCACTCGCCAGTTAAACGCTGTGCATAAAATCGCAAGCATAGACCGTGAGCGGGCAGCACGCACAGTGTCCTGCCTGGCAGGACAGACTGACAAACACCGCCGGGTCTGCCTGCTCAGAGAGCGCCAGGACGGCGGGGCGGCTCAGCCGGTGCCCGGCGCTGGAGGGCGGGACACCCGGCCCTCGGAGCAGCCGGGTAGGGCAGCAAGGGGAGCCCCGGCCCGGCGCGGCACCGCGGCGAAGCGGCACCCGCAGCCCCGGGAGTGGCCGGACAGCGCCCGGTACGAGTTGCCAAAGGGGCCGGGGCGCTGACAGCTGCGCACTCCTCGAGCCTGCCCTCCCGCCCTCCCTCCCGCCCCGGGGCAGTGCGGCGAGGGCTGCTGCCGTGCGCTACCTTGTCGCAGTAGAGCCCCACGAGCTGCTTCATGCGCCAGTGCGGGGCGGAGAACACGTCCACCTCCTCGGGGAAGGGAGCCATGTTCTCCCCATGGAGCCGCGCCGCGGGCGGCGGCGCGAGCGGCGGCGCGAGCATCCACACCGCGCCTGCGCCCGCCCCGCGTGACCGCGGCCGCCGGTGCCGCGCGTGCGCCGCTGGCCCCGCCCCTGCCCCCCTTCCCCGCGGGCAGTGGCGGTCGCTGGGCCCGGGATGGGGCTGCCGTGCCTGGGGGTTTCCGGGGCTGCCGTGCCTGGGGGTTTCCGGGGCTGCCGTGCCTGGGGGTTTCCGGGGCTGCCGTGCCTGGGGGTTTCCGGGGCTGCCGTGCCTGGGGGTTTGCGGCGCTGCGCTGAGTTCTGCTTTGGAGGCACACCTTCGGGGCCGTTCAAGTGCGCTGACGTACTGCCCGACCTGAAATCGTGCGCCTTGGCAGCGCTGAGTTAGTGGCTTGTGGATGTAAGGAAACAATTTATAGAATCACAGAGTCGATTAGGTTGGAGAAGAGCCCTGAGATCATCGAGTCCAATCTGTGACCGAACACCACCGTGTCGACTGGATCGGGGCACCGAGTGCCACATCCAGTCTTTCCTTAAACACCTCCAGGGACAGTGACTTCACCACCTCCCCAGGCAGCCCGTTCCAATGCCCAATCACTGTTTCTGTGAATAAATTCCTCCTTATGTCCAACCTAAACCTCCCGTGGCACAGCTTAAGATTGTCCTCTCATCCTATCACTACTTACCTGGGAGAAAAGGTCAACCCCCCCCGGCTGCAACCTCCTTTCAAAGAGCAATAAGGTCCCCCCTGAGCCTCCTCTTCTCCAGAATAAACACCCCCAGCTCCTTCAGCTGCTCTTCATAGGATTTGTGCTTCAGACCCTGTACCAGCTTCACTGCCCTTCTCTGGACACACTCCAGCACCTCAGTGTCCTTTCCTGAATTGAGGGCCCAGAACTGGACACAGTACTTGAGGTGTGGCCTCATCGAGAAAGGTCCTAGAAAAGCTATTTGTGCATATAGCAGTCTAAAATTTATGGTACTGTTTTGCTGATATTGAGACAGCATTTCTGAAGGAAGACTTTATTTGTACTTTGCAGCAAGAGGGACAACTCCCAGTTGCCCAACCAGGAAACCATGAGAAGCTAGGAGCTGAAAGAAATCTGCTATGCTATAAAACACAGTCATTACAGAAACTGAACTAAATATGTGTGTTTACAGGAAGTAAAGGAAATGCTTCACTGAAATACACTGAGGAGATGACAACATCAGGAATAAAGCGGGTGTGGCAGATGAACTGGTGTTTGTGAGGGAAAATGTGTGATGGGTCCTAAACTAGGCTGCAGTGGGGAATCTGTGCCCAACTTTTTGCAGTATTTGTGCCAAATAAGCAGAGTTAAATGTGTTTGTTTAACATCCAAGGCAAATGGACCAGGAACACCTGCTTGTGATACTCATCTGCCCATGCAACATTTCGAAATAAGCAGGAACACTTGGCAGAATTGAGATCACACATGGATTTGACAAAAGGTGGAACTGTCAGCCAACATGGCAACATGTACTAAAATTGTCCACAAGTGTTGCAATGTGTAGTAAATGTCCCAAAAGTACATTGTCAAACATAAACTAGATGGAGCAGGCCTTTCTGACTAAAAACTATTACTATAAAATATCTATGTTGCAGATATTAAATGTGTTAGAGCTAGCTACTTTATAGATGTAAGCAGTTAATTGTAAACACATTGAAATATTCTGAGCAAAGGCACATGACTTTTTAGTCTAGTATTGCTCAACATACTAGTGCTTGAGAATAAAATACTGGTAAAAGTAGTAAATAGTGACCGGAGAAGGAGAGATCATGTTATGAGGGTTATCTCGCTTACATGTGCACCATAATCTTTTTATCTCTTTATCTAAGGAAATGAGGCTTAAGCAATTGCAGTCTTGGGTGTTTCCTTTTCCATGCATGCTTTCCACCTCGATGGACTTTTGAACATGCTGGCCTACTTAATCATGTCTGCAAACATGTACAAACCTTGGAAGGTTGAATTCATACAGCCTTGGGGGGGAGAAGCAGTTACACATGTCAGCAGTTGCACAAGAAAAGGAAGGCAAAGCACAGGTATTATGCAGCTGGCTAGCCAGTGCATGGTTGTGTTTACTGCTTGGTTAGTAAGCACACCTCTGGGTTTGGGCTTGAGCATGTCTTTCACAGAGAGTGTGTCACAGCACATAAGGGAGCAAGTGAGACTGGTGTTACTGCTGGAGGTAGAATCATGCACTGAAGACACAAACCCTTAAGAAACAATGTTTGAAGTTCAACGCTTACAGAGGAGCTTGGGAATATGAGCAGTTTCAATGTCATGTTTCCAGGCCTAAAGCATGTAGTCATACAGAATTGAGGTTATTCTGTCATCAATTCATGCCTGAGTTGTAATAGAGGATTAACGTTCCCACCTGTTACACCTTCCTTCTGCTGGAAGTTACCACTCCTATCTAATAGAAAGAATGAGAATATGTAGGTTCCTCATCTTCCCGGGCTTCAGAATACAAACATATGCTGAATTTCATGGTTGTTTGGGTTAATATTCAGATTGTGAACTCGAGTATCTCCAGAGCAGATATGCTGCAAATTTGGCTGACTGATTCATTGGCAATAACTTCTTCTAGGAGAGAGGGACAGAGAGCAAGGGACAGTGATCTGCATACAAAGCATGAATTGCCAGACCTGCCTTAGAAATCTGAGTCCATGGGCAAATTACTCGAAGGTTGAATTTTTTTTATCTTTTTAAGGAAAAAAAATAGTGTGGTTGTATTTGCATACCACAGAATATTTACTCTGAAGATTAGATTAATTAATGTCATTTCTTGATCTAATGAAGTACTTAGGGAAAAGAACCTGGAGGAGAATAACAGTATGCAGAAGTTGAAGAGGTCTGTTTAGTGCACAGGATATGTGTCAATCCTTTTGCTTCTTGTACTGATTGATTCATGACTGCAAGGCAGTTTTGTTCATGAGGACATGATACAAGTATCATCACACCAAAATGTTGCTGTCAATATCCAGGGGAGAGATGGAAAAAAAAGCTGACTAATCTTACCCTTATGTGTGATACAAGATCACGAGGACTTGGGTATTTATGCTATCATTGCTATATTGGCATATTTTAGATATTTATTTTTTTTTTTGTTCTTGATATGTATTTCAGCTTTTTTTTCAGCCATTAGAGAAATATGTGCAAAAAGTATAATCCTTTTAAAATTAAAAGAAACTGTTTAAAACATGTTGCTTGCAAGCACTTGTGATGGTTTAGGGAGGTGTAGCTCAGCAATGACTATTAAGTGAACCAAAGGCATCCTAAGTACTGAAGTGGTAAGGTTTTTTTTCCTCACTTTACTGAAATATATTGCAGTACTCCTTAGTTATCACCAGATGGCCTTGAAAGTCTCTTTTTTTCTAAAGTAGGGAGCAGTGTAGACACAAGGAAGTGATGTATCTGTGTGCTGCAATCGTTCCAGGAAACAGCTGAGTTACAGTTCCCAGCAAGGTTTTGTTTTCCTCCAAACTTTTGTGTACAGAGCTAGAGCTGGAGCTAGTATTGACAATCTTAAATGTTAAGCCTGCCGGTTTCCTTTTAGATTGTATCATTTAACTCTCCTCTTTTTTTTATTTCCCCTTTTTTTTTTAAGAACTTGGATTGCCAAGAACCATGATGATGAGCCTTTTTTTGCCTCTTTTACTTGTGTCTGTTCTGTTTATGAACAGCTTCTCAGAAGTGCGGGGAAGGAAATGGAAAGGTGAAGGTACAACTCAAAACCTGGAAAGTATTGCCATTGGAAGATGCTATGATTATATTAGAATTGTGAATCCTGCTGTTGGGTAAGTTTTGATTGTTTCTGGCTTAGTTTTTTATGATCTGTACAAAATAGTTATTAATCAGAAGCCTGATGTTATGCTTCTAGCCATGAAAGTGATCCTGTTGCAGCCAACATGCTTGTAGCTGTCTGGAAACAAAAAATGAATTTTTACGGATGTCATATTTTAAGTAAAGTAGTGTAATTAAGGCAAGATTTTTAATTCTGCAATTTTTTATTTCACATTTCTCCCCCTCTTACTGTTCTGTAAGGAGAACACCACACAGAGATGGCAGAGATAATGTGTCTGAAGTATCAAATCTGACAGTGCTCCTGGGAAGATCAGCTTTACCTTGAATGCCTTGTGTGTCAGGTCACGTAACAAGGGAAACACCTCACTTTACAGCTATCTGTGGTACTCAAGGAAACTGTTTAGCTCATCCACCTGAAAAATTAAGTAGTAATCAACTGCTCAAGTAGGATTATCCATGAGATTTCAATAGCTGTGTCAGTTATACAGAACTGGAGGTAAATCAAACACTTTGAGCACTTTTTCTGTCTTCCTTCCCTTGTAAGGACTTCCATAAAAAGGAAAAAAAATTAGGAAGGATGGTCTCCTGGAGTTCAGCCCTTTATTCTGCCACTAAAATTTTGTCCTAGTAGTTTGAAGAGGTATTTGCAGAGGGGTCCTGGCTGGGTTACACATTGAATTGCTCCTGTGTGAAACAGGGCTAGATTATATTGCAAATATCACCTCCTTTCCCCAACATCCCTTTTTCAGTTTCTGTTGCAAAAGAGGAAGATACAGGACTGAAAACAGGTTGGTGGCTTTTAACAAAGGCAAAACTACACGTTTCTGCCCAATAACATTATTAGCTTATCAGAAGCAATTTTTTTCAAGTTCCTCATGAAAGAAGAAATCACCTTAATGTAAATAACATAGTACTAGAATTTCAGCAGAACAGTTCAAGCTCGGCAAATTTATAAACATGTCACAGTGGAAGGTACAAGTAAACTTTAACTATATATTTCTACATATCTACAATATAATATATATATAATATATATTATATAAAATATGTAAATTTAGTTAACAATTGTGTAGGTAGTCTGATCTTGCAGTAGGCTCTACATAGGTAGAATTCCTATTGGACTTAACAGATGTCACTTCATTTATATCTAAAACAGAACATGACTAATAATATAAAATATGCTAAAATGAACAACATAAAGGATAGAAGTATTAACTTTATCGTTAACTGATTTGGACTTTTAAATACAATATTCTTGAAAGTATTTCTATATGTCTCGTGTTTATGATAGTATTGTGATCTAATTAATTCCTGTGACATTTTCAGAATATAATTTTAAAATTGAGCAGTCTGAACACATTAATCAAAGTCTTTTTGTTCAGGATAGCATGAAGCCAGGCAGGCCATTGGGACCACTTTCCTGAATTAAGACCAAAAATGACATTATAAAAAGAAGAGCTACACAATTAATTTCATATAATGGAGGGGGGGTGGTCTCTTTCCGTGAGGTCTATAAGCAAATAATGTAATCCAAACAAAATGAAAATTTCATATTGCACAGGTGCAAAGCAGATACTCTAATTATTTATAGCCCTTTCTGTTCATTGTCTGTTTCTTAGTTGCCCCCAGGCTGGCTTTTACAGAGGCACGACCACCTGGATATGTTTTGCTTCTGAATTTATGTGCAAATACAATAATTCTCTAAAAATACTTTGCTAAGATAAAGGAAGCTAACAAGGCATGTCTTTACACTGCAACATAGTTAAAATCTTCGTTAGTGAAGCCTAGCCATGAGTTAAAATGTAAAGATGTTTATAAAAACATAAGAAAAACTTCCTGTTATGTTATAACATGCAAAATGGCAGGTAAAGGATGCATTTTACAAAATGCTGTGGTCATGTAGCAGTGAGGAATTTGAACAAAGATCATATTTCAAATTTTCTAATAGGAGCATGCTGTATAACACAAATGTTCCTGTAGTGCTTTTTCTCCATACTTGTTTACTTGTAATATATTGTGGAAGTTTTGAAAACAAGTTCTTTAACTGACTAGTATGAAATAAGTCTAATAGGACTCATTAATGTCTATTGAGATTAGAAGGAATTGTCCTGAACTGTATTCCTTCCCAACCCTGTAGTTTCAAAAAGTATTTTTGCCAGCTAAGAAATTTTGAATATCAGAGCAGAATAATCCTTTTGATTTACAAGCTGTTCAAACCTGGATGAGAAGTCATGAAGAAAAAAAATGCAGTATGTGAATTAACCAGGAATTTACTGCAAGATTCAACTGTCAAGAAAGATATTAAAAGTTCCATTGATCATAACTTACAAGTACTGGCATGAGTAAGTGAGTGCTTACAGCAGAAAGCTCTTTAGCAAAATAAGACAGAAATATACACAATTGTCAGAAGCTGAAGCATAACAGCTTGAAATCAGAAATAGGGCACAAATCCTTTTATCAAATAAATCTATTTAAACTTGAAACTACTGATCAAGGATCATATTGCATCACTGAATATTTTTGGATCAAAATCCATATCTCCTTATGATATATAGGGAATTATTATATAGTTATTGGAAGCATGTCCAGAGATTACTGTAAGAGAATCTGTGGTACGTTTCCTTCATGGGAGCTGCATAGCTCATCACAAGGGGTCCTTTGAAGTGTCTCCTTAAGGAATCTGTGCCAGCCAAACCCCTGCTGTCTATGGATGACATTAAATGAGCAAAACTCTCTAATGGCAATGTTTGATTTACTTGTCTGGACTACTGTTGTTTAAAGCTAGAGCTTTGCAATTACAGCTGTTCATGTTAGGAGTGCTGTATGCATTTAAAATAATTATTCTGTTGTGCAGCGAGTTCCTGGCATAAACCTTGTTACAGTGGTACATGGGAAAGGTACTGTGGAAAAGTGGTGAGAGCAGGAATTCCCTTTTTAACTACTACAGGCAGGTTCAGATCTGTGACAGATGAGATCCTGAAAATCCAGAGGGATAGGACACTTTCATCCCTAGATAGCCTGTCCTGTTCTTCCATGGGAGGTTATTGTCCCCAAGGCAGAGCTGGCAGAAGGGACCTGCTGGAGTGTGCAGCAGTTTATTTCAGGCCTCCTTTCACAAGCACTTTAAATGTTGAATGCTAACAATATTCTTGTAGCTACTGCATAGTGACAGTGTGTTCCACGCAGTTCCACGCTGCTCACTGTACTCATTCCAGCAAGGTAAAGCTGCATAGTCCCAGGGCACACAAGGCATCTGTTTGTCAAAACCATTATTCTGCCATTGAAACTTTCAGTAACTCCTCCTGCACTTGAATCTGACATTTTGAGAGTAATAGGGCATTCCAGTATTTTTACATATTTAGCTATGGTTTAATTGAAATGGCTTTTTATATCTGAAAAATTTCAAAGAAAGCTGTTTTCTTTACTATTTCTACAGTGCTGGATAGCAAGCTTGCTGTATATACTCTACCTATGAAGATTTTTGTTGAATTACGATGTGTTTCTAATTCCACACTGTAAATGATAATATTTTCCTTGCTGCTTCCTCCTAACCTGCTGCAGTTATGAGTCAGAAAAAGACAAGATCTGTACGCTCTTCCTGACCTACAATTTTTTTACCACCCTGACTTCAGTTTTCTACCTTAACCTTACGGATATTTTAATGTGGGAATTTGAAAAAGTTGGGAACAAATTACTTTCTTGCTCCGCTTTGAGAAAACAATTCTGCTGTTTGTTTGTTTCAATGATTACAGTGAGAAGAATTGTTCAGAGATATGGGAAGCATTTAAAAGTGCATTTATTAACAAGGATCCTTGCAGCATTCTACCTGAGGACTATGAATTATTTATCAACCTGTCATTGCACACAATTCCAGCTAACAAGGTAATTATTTATGTTAACTGTCCTTAGATATCCAACAGATTTTCTATGACAGTTCAAAATTGACCAAGAGTCATTATCTGACTGACTTGTGAGTCATTCTTTCTGGCCTGTCTGTAGTTTAAAAACTAGTCTCAGATCTGATAGCATTTTTCAATGTGTTTGGCTCCATTTATTTTATGCAGTAGCTTCTCAGCAACCTCTCTCTTTTTATACTACAAAGGTCCTCCATTTTTCCTGCTGTGCTGGGAGCTCTGACATAGTCCCTGAACTTCTACTTTTCCTCAAGTTAGGTACTCTGCCTGCAAAGGGTGTGCCTGCTGTCATCTTTTGCTTCTACTCCTCACAGCCAAATCTCGTGGCAATGACATGTTAAACATTGACACATTAAACAAACATAAACAGAAATGAGATAAGATGTTGTTATATGCCAGAAAACAGTAAGGGTTTGATGTGCTGGCAATTGCAGAGAACTGTGATTGTGCAAGAGACAGGTTGTGCTTTAAAGCAGTTTTTCCTCGGCGCAATTATTCCTCATCTCTAAATGTTATGAGCTAAACGAACAAATACTCCTGTCAACATAGCTTAATGCTTGAAGAGTTTCGCAAACACGGAAATAACAGCAAGATGTATGATTTTTTCACACCATAAGCCAACATAGCAATGTGAGAGAATTCTGGCAACATATATCTGGATTATAAATATTTGTCTTCCCTTTTTCCTCCTTTTCCTAAACCTGCCTGCTGAGGCAGGCAAAGCTAGGCCTAACTACATTCAAAATAGGTCTATATCCCTTCCCATCAAGGTATGAGTGTCCCTCAAGTCTCTAGAGATTGGAATTTACTCCTCTATAAAATAAAAACTTTGTTCCTCTAAAGACAAGCGAACATTTCTGGTTATTAGTTGATTTTGAAAGAAACACCAAAACATGTTTTAAACTGTTTTCGACACCCAATAATCTCATTGTGTCCTCGCCCAAGTGTCAGTACATATCTTCTTTTTTATTTTCCCTATTTTTATATAGTCTCTCTTCTGGGAAAATAATCAGCTACTAGTCAATAGCTTTGCTGACAGAGGACGTCGCTACATGTCTGTGGGTGATACCCTGTTTGGCTTCTTTGGAGATTTCCTAAACTGGTGTGGGCAGGCAAACAGCTCTGGTAAGATAATGAGTGCTATATTAAACATTTGTCTGCAAAACCACAATGGAGACTGAGTGCTGTGTTCTGCAAAAGCTAATTTTGCTCTTATCTGGTGAAAAATTAGGGATAGCTTCACTCTGGTATCATTTGAATATTTAACATTGCAGTTAAGGAGCTCACAGTGAAATCTAAACAGTGCTGCAGTGGAGGTAAACCACCTTCTCAATTCTCTGAACCTGGAGCTCTCTGCATCCCAGGAATAGAGTTAGATCCATTTCAAACAAATTTCCGAATCCACAGAATGTCACTGTTTGTGTAAACTGCAAAGGATGGAAAATTATTGAAAAAATACAGCTTCCAGTGTCATGTCAAACTATGTTGTATGTTCAGTGAGTAATGAGCACATAAATTTACTTCCTTTCTAAACTCCCTTTTTACAGTCATTATCATCTCTCTAATAACACAAATCACATGCCTTCCTACAGGACTGGACTATGAATCCTGCCCTACTACGATGGAATGTGAAACCAATGCAGTGGATTCTTTCTGGAGGATGGCCTCAATCACTGTAAATAGTGCATTAGTGCTGACTTCATGCATTAGCCAGCGTGTCCTGGGTGGTTCAGGAAAACACTGCCAGCTCAAAACAGCTTTAAACCTGTAACTGCTAGATTATTTCTTCTGATACAAATACAGTGTTTTAGACTGAATACAGTGTTTTAGCAAGAGGAACCTAATTTTCACCTTAGCTAAATAATGTGTTAAAATTCTGTGTTAGCGTTGTTAATATAAATCATATACTAAGCACAATAAGCACAATAGCTGTCTACTAATTGCAGGTTCAAAGTGATATTTGACAGCTTTGCTGGAAACGCTTTATTCACAGATCAAACCCAACACAGATTGCTAAAATGCTTTCTTCCTGTGCTGAAGAAACTATTTATAGGTGTGAGAAAATAGCTTATTTCATTGAATTAATCCACTGGCTGTTTAGTTCCTGTCCTTTCTCCTGACATGACCTGCTAGGGTGCTAGTGTAGTAGTATTTTTGCAGTTCTGATATTCTTCTTGGTAAAATTCTTTCTTTAGTCATTGTTGCTTGCAATAAAATAGTTTTGTGTGCAGTTTTGGTCACCCCAGTATAAGAAAGATATTAAGCTATCAGAGAGAGTCCAAAGGAGGGCAACAGAGATGGTGAAGAGCCTACAGAGAAAGCCATATGAGGAGCAGCTGAGGTCACTTGGTCTGTTCAGCCTGGAGAAGAGGAGACTGAGGAGAGACCTCACTGCAGTTACAACTTCCTTGTGAGGGGAAGAAGAGGGGCAGGCACTGATCTCTGTGGTGACCAGTGACAGGACCCAAGGGAATGACCTGAAGTTGTGTCAGGGCAGGTTTAGGCTGGATATTAGAATAAGGTTCTTCACCCAGAGGGTGGTTGGGCACTGGAACAGGCTCCCCAGGGAAGTGGTCACAGCCCCAAGCCTGACAGAGTTCAAGAAGCATTTGGATGATACTCTCAGGCACATGGTGTGACTCTTGGGGATGGTCCTGTGCAGGGCCAAGAGTTGGACTCAGTGATCCTTATGGGTCCCTTCCAACTCAGCATGTTCTGTGATTCTGTAAAAAATCTGTAAGATGAGTTCTGGAAAACATTGTTATGTATTACAGTATGCGAAGCACAGTTCAGGGGAGATACATGTCTTGTTGAATGGTTCTGCAGTCGGAGGAGCTTATCCACAGCCAAGGTAAGAAAACTGATTTATGTGTAGAAAGTCTAATAAAAAAAAAAAAGGTCAGCCAGTTGTTTGGGTCTTCTGCTGCAAAAAGCATGAGAAATGTAGCTGAAAGAGCCTCATGCATCAAAGTCTGCTCAGTTGTGAGGACAACTCTTAATTGTCCCTAATTGAAGGAATTAATATGAAATTGATGGAAATAATGCTTTTGACTCCTGCATTTTACTAACTGCTGTGGCAAGCAGGATGGATGGTCTTTGAAAGCTGCCTTTAAGTCAGTCAACATACTGTGGCAAAATGTTTATGTCTTCCAAAAGGTGAGCATTACAAAATTTCTTTTCAGCAACATGTCCAAGGAGAGGGTATTGTTACAAGGACTGTAATTTCTGCCAGGCCTAGAGCAACTTGGTAAATTCTATAGGGAAGGTTTTTTGTCCTGCTATTTCTTGACCTTTGAGGACATTCAGAATATGAATCATATTTTTTCTAATCTGTGTTGAGCCTGATTGTAATTAGAAGATATAAAGTCAAGCAAGCCCATATGCTACAGCAGGATCAGAGCCTTCATTAGTGTAAAGTACAAAAGACTAATTAATTTTCATATTCTTTCATGGTTCTAAATTTTTTTTTTCTTGAGTCAGTTTTTTTGCAGATTATGAAATACCTAATCTCCAGAAAGACAAAATCTCACAAGTTGTTATTTGGGTTGTGGATGATATTGAAGGACCAGATCTGTAAGTTAAATTTTCAAAAAAAAATTTAATTTCTCCCTTTTGGACCTGTCTTTAAAATTTCACTTTATCTTTCTGTTTGATTATATTTGCATAGCACTTGGACTAAAGTATTTTAGATGCTTTCATGAACACAAAAGGCACAGGCTGCCATTCCTAAAGAGTACAGAAATACCAGAATTAGACAAAATATAAATAAATTTTAATATTAGATTTGTAGTCAACTCTTGGTTAGATCTGTATGTGTGGATCTCTGGATCTCAGACCTTCAGTGAAGATATAACTTGTACAGTTTTACTAAGAGTCAATCTGAATTTCAGATTAAGTGCTGACAAGAGATATTTCTTTCACCTTGCCATATGCATTCTTTTCATTTTCATCTATCTTAAGTATTTGAAAAATTTGTAGAAGCAGATAAATGCCAACAGGGGGCTCTTTTTCTCTCAATAATTAATCCAGTAATAAAATGTAGACTTTAAAAATGTCTAATTTTGCTGGTAATTTAATTAAAACAAATGAATAAATAATAAACAAATAGATCAGTCAGAACAGAATTGTCTGTTGGTAAATAGCCAAAGACCAAGTGACAATTTTCAATTGAAACCTAATGGAAAATAGATTCTGAAGTTAAAAAAATTAAATCATTAGGCTGGAAATTAGGCCTTGTTTGGCACTGATTAAAGGAAGAATTAAATAGTCTATTCCTTATAGCTTTTGTGGGAGTCACTGCAAATGTACATAGATGAATTGGGGGTACAGAACAGAGGAAGTCAGTTTTGCAGGGTCCCTGCAATTTAACATGGGGACACTTCATTGGTCTTAAAACTGCCCTGGCTGAAGAGGGCCAGAGAAATGGACTCAGATGTCACCATATCTACCACATGTGTCTGAATCCCAGGTGTCCTCTGCATTCTCGGGAGGATGAGGCTTCTGTTCTTGCAATTCAATGATTTTTGGTTGCATCCATTCATTTTGTGTCATTTCCCTTTCACATCTCGTCTCTGCTCTTTGCTATCTCCTTTTGCTTCTTTTTCATTCAATTTTGGCATGGCCAACCCAGACAACGTATTTTACCACAGTGCTGTGGAGTCTACAAAGCACAGTTCAGCCTTCCTCTCTAAATCAAAGAATGAAACCCTTTGGGAGGAAAAAAATCATACAGCTCATCTTTCCAAAAGTTGCCCATACTACAAAGAAAAGACAAACACTGAAGATTAATTTATCTTTCAGTTAATGGATGCATGGAATTTTGTAGATTTTTATTAATTGCTTTCTACAATTATTTTATTGGTCCCCATATGTTTTCTGCAGTCTGCACACCAGCAGATAAGTAACATTGGCCTTAATACTTTATGTTGGTGCAAATTTAGAGGTCTCAGCAGGTTCTGTACTATGCTAAACTTTCTTATGCTGATTGGACCACAAATTAAAAAATCAGTGCTAGAAACAGAAGCTGTATTTAGCATAATTTCTGGGGTTTTTTCATTCTCTGTGCTTTTCTATTGTTCAATATTCAAGAGGGAGAACAAGCTTCTAACAAAAAGAGTATTTCTGTTTTGTTATAACCAACAGGTTATAATTCTGTTTTATTATAACCAGTTATAAAGACAGGTAGAATCAAATTTAGCACTACCTAAATAGTTGCCAAAGAATATTGCCAATGAAACATTTAATATTTTACAAAGTTATTTAGCTCTTTTTCTGTCTAGTCAAGTGTTAAAGGTGGGATTATTGGTTAATAAAATCTGAAAATGCTACACTGGCTGAAACTAAACTTGTAGGCTGCAAACTAAGTATAAAATGTGAGACAACTGTAATGTAAGTAAATGAAACATTACAATTAGCAATGTACAACATTATTCTGGAGGTGCTATGGAATATAGGAGAGGCAAAGTAATGGGGATTTACTTTACTAATTCCATCAAGTTCTGTAAAGGAAATTATATAACAAAAGACTTGCAATAATATTGAAATCCTCTCTCACAGAGACTCCTGTGGAATCCACAGTGTAAAGACATTAGAAACCAGGCTGAAAACCCTTGGTTATAATGTCACATGCACTGACAATTACAAGTAAGTGAAAATCCTTTATTAATATGGTGTATTTGCAGAAGTACCTTATCTATTTGATTCTTACTTTTCAATACTTTAATGCCATTAATGTTGTGTCTTCAGGAGAGACTGATATGTTGGAGGGGTGATGTCACATTTTTTAGACTTTTTTACCTGTGAATTGAGCAAAACACTACATTGTATTGTATAATTAGATGAAACATTGTACTCAATGTCAGACACAGAATATGGCCTCATATTCCACTTCACTGTAAAATCTTTATTTGGATTGAAAATCTAAGCACCAGTTAAAACCACTATTGCATGTCTAAAGGATTATTAGATATTCATAGTAGGATTCACAGCTCTAGTTATTCCCAGTAGATTTTAAGAAAATTTAATTGAAGGGAAGCTTTAGACATGACAATACTGTGAGTTTGTTTCATTTTTTCATTAGTTTTCCTCAGTTTTCTGCCTAAAAAATACTAAATAAATTGATATCTTCACAGGTCTGTAGTGTTCTTACTCTGCTTGGATTATCCTGATAATTCTAAGTGTGCCCTTCCATCGTAAGTAAAAGAAGTTCAATCCCTCCTCAGTGTCCTTACAATGGAATAAACAATGCAGAAGTCAACAGTTCAACAGATCCAACCTCTACCATTTATTATATATCATCCATATGAAATATACAGTATTCTTCAATTTATTACTTACTGTGCCTTGAGTAAGCTGTCTCTCTTTGCAAATTGTACACAATTGTCTGTGAGCACCTGCTGTTCAACATTAGGGATTAATGAGTTCTCATCAATCACACAGTAACACTGTATATGATTCATGGTATGAATGAAGTTTGTACATATCACTGTTCTGGTGCAAAATCTACTACAAATTTGAAATTGATTTATTAATATTGTTCCTTGAATAATGAAATTGTAGGTCAAATGATGGTACATTTCTCCAGCTGCTGGAACTAAAGGTCTAAATTTTGAGGAAGTTTCTTTTTCATCTTCCATTTTGTATGAAACTCAATTTCTGTATTTCAATGTATTTAGCTTGGGCCCAATGCATTTACCTTGGGCCTTACCTAGTAGGGTATTTGCAGAGGTGTAGTTTACATCCAAGACACAACTTTTTTAATTAGCAGTCATCATTCCAAAACTAGCTTTTTTTCCCATCTTATACTTATTTTAATTTATTATATAAAGAGAATTAAGATAATTTATTATGTATTTCAGTAATTTACAGTAAAGATTGCTATTTTCAATTGTGACTAGTTTTTCTTAGTCTATATGCTGTTGCATGTTTAGGTACACATAAGATACTTGAACTTCTGCTATGAAAGATCTTACTTGCTGTTCCCAGTTATGGCAACAGAGAGATGCAACTGCTGCTTGCCTCCCTCTGGGGAGGGGCAGTAGTGCTTCATGCAGTACAGAAAAGTAGGTGTATATCATTCTCTGTAACATATGTTCAGCTTTTAATGCATCCTTACAGAGAAAGTGAGTACTCTGTTGTTGCTGGTCATTGTAAACTTTTACTCATCTTATCATGCAACAACGTTTATTCTCACATCCAAATTATATCCTAGCACCAACCTATAAATATTATGAAAACAGACTCCTTCTAGGCAGTGATCATAGGACAGGCTTCCAGTCCTGTTAAGGTTTTTGTTTGTTACAAAATGCCACTTGCACGGTGGATTAAAATAGGGTTTCCCTGTTCTGCCACTGAATGGTAGGGCTTTTGTTCATGTGTCAAAGGAAAGTATATTTATCCCATGAAAAATCATAGCTGTAAATGTAGTGACAATATTAACAAACTGGAGGAAAAAGCACTTTACAGGACTTAAAAAGAATATAATATTGTGACCTCTTAACAGAAGATTTTTCTCCTCTCCCAGGTTTTAAACCATTTCCCTCAAAGTTTTGTGGTGTATGTTCCTCAGCTGAGAAAACCTGGATGAGAAGGCTTATGGAAACCATTAATGTCTTTTTCTTTTCAACTAAGGGATGAGCATACCAATTCTGCAGTATTACTACATAGTGCTTGCAGTATGTAAGCAGCCACCCCTTCTCTTCCATCCATGCCGATACTTAAAGTAACATAATAATTGGCATTTTCTAAGCATCAGTCTCATGCTCTCGTGGCATAATTATTAACCAACTCAGATGTGATCATCCTCATTAGGAAAACTTTCCTTGCTTGTTTCCTTCCTGAGCATGCTATTCCCTCCTGTATGCATGGCACTATAATAGGTTTGATTTACTTCATATCTGCACTATCCCAAATCAAGACAGAGCTTCCCAATCAGAATGCTAAACTATCATTGCCTCTCCCTGAAATTTAAGTAACTAAAGTGCTTCAAGCCAATGAATACTTAACACTGTTCCCCAAATCACTTCTCTGCAATAAATAACATCTCCATTGAAATTAACTGCCCTTTCACAAAGTCTTAAGCAAATGCATACAAATTATTTGATGATTATCTTCTTAGGTATGTTTTTTCTGTGGAGGGATGTGATGGCTCATTAACTGATATGGGAGCAGTCTGGACAGTAGGGGTATCACTATGAAGAGCATGTATCTGTTAGGAAAAGGTTTCCTTTGCAGAGTATGTGCACTCAGTGTACACTCAGTGTACTCAGAGAAACAGGCATGCAGGCTCTGCTGCATCCCCTTTCCTGAGGCGTATTTGCTGTTACAAGGCTGATAGCTGCCTTCTTACCCTGCAGAGAATAGTGTCCCCAGCCCAAAACTACCAGAGTTGGGCAAGTCATTTTTTATGTCACCACAGCTCCTGTTACACTGGCATAGCAAAGGAGAGGGATGGGTCAGGGTAGCAGAGGGATGGCCTAGAATGTGCTTTAATGTACTTTGGGCTTCTTGGGTATTGGTGGTGCCCCTTAATTCCTCTCCAGACTTGAATTATGTTTTTGCTGAGTCAAATTTGGACTTTGGCTTGTTTAGTTGAGATCCTGACTTTTGAAGAAAACTTGTAAGTAAAAACTAACCACTAGATGGCATAGATGGCTTACAAACATAAGCAGGAAGGAAGCCAGATGCAGCCTATTAGTAGTGGTATTTATTACTTGCATTGTTGCAATGTCAGAGAGACTTAGAAATGGATCTGGATACTGCTTTATCAAATGCTGTGAAAATACAGTCCTACAGGACCACTGCTGCCTAGAAGAGCTCTATAAAATCACAAGCATAAGCCAGAGACAGTAAATGAAGGGGGAGAGGCAAGAAGGCTCAGGTGTAAGCGTAGAAAGGAGTGTTCCCAGGATATTCCAAAGCTACTTAGTTTATAAAATCATCACAGCCAGAGAGAATCTGTTGGCTAGCTCGTATGAAGAAACTTCTAGTTTAGCACTTGGACCACGAACTTCATCCTTAGCAACAAACCCCTGATATTTAAAAGAATCCTAACTCAGCTCTATGCTGTGAACATCCTGTTTGTTTTCTTTTCTTCAGATCTGCACCAGCAGGACAAAGAGGACCTATATCTTCAGACAGAGGAGGCAGCTGGAACAAGCTCATGTTTGTTTCTTTTGTAGGCTTTTTGTTCAGATTTGCTTTAGTGTAATAAGTTAATCAAATGAATCCATATCCTCTGTTTGCCTTAACTAGCTATAAATTTGCCTTCAGCTAATTTTTAACTGCAGTTTCATCCTGCGTCTGGGACTGGCAAACCTGCGTATTAAAACCTTGCATACTAGATACCAACTTCTTTTAGTATCAAAAATTAACCTGCTGATGCTAGAAAGCCTCACCCTTCATTTCCTTCTCTTGATTAGAAGAAATGCATTGCTATTTCCTCTTATCTTTGTTCTCCAGAATTAAACAAGAATAATACGTTCTGTTCACATATTTCAGAAGGAAAATTAAAGTATGCCTGTTGTACATCATCCGCACAGATAACTTGTTTATAAAAACATCCTAGCATTTTGCCTTGTGAACTTAAGTGGCTGACTGTCATGTTTTGGGAAAGGGAAATACGAATTCAGATAGGAGAGGTCTTAGATTTCTCACTTGATACAAGATACAATCGGTAAGACAGCAGAAAATTAAACTCATTTTCATAAGTGGTCCAGCACTTGGGCCAAACTTACCTGAAACTGTTGTATAGCAAGATTCTGGCTTGCATACTTGCATACAGTATTTTACCACATGATATTGATTGCTTTGTCATCCACACAGCTGTTCCTGGCCACTGGGTAGCAAATAGTCAGAAATACCAGGTCTAGAGAGTTCCACAGTTTTTCCACTATGATGTGATTTATGGTATATCATATTCAGACAAGAACATGCCAAGTCAGACATTGGCCTGCTTGCTGTGAACTCAGTCAGCGTGCTTCAGAATATACTGAGGAGAGAGCAGATGCCATTCTGAAGATTTCTTGAGTTACTTTTGTGAATTATCTTAGTGTTCCAGCTAGATCCTCTTCTAAATCACCAGCTAAACATCCAGCTGCCAAGGTGCCACATAAATCTTCAGAAAAAAAATAGTCATTCTACTAGAGAATAATTTTATGTAGAATTTTGTTGCACATTCTGTGCTAGCTTCTGTATTATTTATTTGTGTTTATATTAGCTGGTTGCCAGGAAACTGGGATAGGATATTCCTGTTATCTGAGTGAATCTGATTTAGGGCTTCATAGTAGATTTACATCCTTTCACTCCTTGTTGCATCCTATCCTCCCTGATACAACTATATCATGTTGTATGTAAAATATGTTGTTGTTGCTTATTTGTCTTGCTTCCATTCCTGTAATAATCCTTATTTTGGTTTTAATGCAAATCCCTTTATATTACACACATAGTTGGGTTTGCCTGTGTCACAGCTGTTTAGTCTTCAGCTTGAAGGATTTTTGTGTCTGTTTCAAACCCAAAAAGTACTGAAAATGCAGAAGTACTGAAATCAGAAGTTATAGACCTTTGAAAATCTGGGCTGCAGTATGCCTCAGAATTGTTCCCTATCTATGCTGTAACATTAGTCTTTTGATTGGTTCTTTCAACATCCTCCTCACTTTTATTGCTTGTTTGTTGCTGTCCTTAACAGCAGCTGCCAGAATAATCAGAGAGGTATCTGTCTGTAACACAATCACATCTCAGATAACTAAACCCAAGCAATTTTGATCAATCTTCTATTTGCCTGCAGCAGGTCACATCATGACACATTTTGAGCCACAGGCTGTAGAGATAGTGCATTTGAGGCTCACAGTTAGGAGTCCAAGCCATCATCAGGACTAGTGTTGGCCTACCTATTGACCTGGGCATGACAGTGTGTGGGAGATTCAGAGAACAGCTTAAAGCACAAGCCTTGTGCCTCTTAGGCAACTTCCATCCATATGCCAAGCATCCCAGCTGACCAGCTTTTGCTTTCCAGCTTATGAAAGCTTTTCACCTCTACTGCAATCCAATCCAGCAGGACAGTCAGTTCTGACCATTACATATGATACCAAATACACTGTAGGAAGTGCTAAGTAATTCTGTTTTGAAAAAAAAAATAATTAAAATACAAAGTAGGATAGCTACAATTCAAACAATTGAGGTTATTTACTGCATAACCTTGTATCAAGAACAACACACTCAGTACTTCTTGCAGTGTTTTCTCATTTCTAATGTTCTTGCCTCTTTTCCTATTACTTCGACTCAGTAGCAAAGACAGCAATTTTTTTTCTCCAATACCTGTTCAATAATGCATCTCAAAGTTGCAGGAAAAAATTGGGAAGATCTGTAAAGATTTTTAGCTAACCAACTAATATAGATGGGAGGGGGGAAAAAAGCAAAGTTCTAGATGCATAGGTTTCCTGAGATCTTAGAGGCAGCACATTTCAAGATGAATGTGAATTGTTTGTTCTGCATTTAATATAATGTTTTTAATCTGCATGAAAGAACAGTGTGACTGGCATCTCGGAAGCAGAGAGGCAGAAGTGTCAGCAAAGCAAGAAACAATAAGATCATTTGTTACTCCCAGAGAGAGGGAGAGACAGGAACAAACCTTTTTTATTTCTACATCTACAAAGGATGTGAATAGTACTGTTTACACATATATGTTACACTTACGTGGTGACAATCAGCTAGGTGTACCTGTGCTCTGTCTTGAACACCCAGTAAATGCTCTGGTTAGCAACGTCTCATGTAACAACTGTGCCAAATTTGGAGAAATCATACTGTCCAAAAGGCACCTGCCCTTCTCTGTAAACTTATGCAAGCTTGGTAATGTTCACCCGGGTACTTCAAATACAGATTCAAAATGTTTCAGTCATTCATACTTGTACTAGAAGTACTACAAAACCAGCTGTCTCCAGACCTGAATTCGAGGGAAAAAATATTTCAGATGAAAACAATATGTGTATCACTTCATTTTGAATCTGATTGGATGCCACAATCCTGTGTAGATCTGTTAATATCCAACTATTTATGGCAAATGAAAACATCACGTACAGGAGCATTACAAGGTGCTCTGCATTTCCACAGACAGACCTGTGGAAGCTACTGAGACTACAGTAGTATTTCCTGCTCTGCCCATTTTGTGGACCATTCAAGAACTCAGTTATGTCGCGTCCTTCATTCCTATATAATATAATATAATATAATATAATAATAATATAATATAATATAATATAATATAATATAATATATAATCACTCCTACTAACTTACTTTTTTCTCCTGCTACATGTGTTTCAGTCATTGTATCTGACAAAAGCTGAACTCAGAGTAATTCCTTTCTCCAGCATGTATGTGTATGCATACGTATACATCTGCTCATACCTGCTCTGTCTATTTTTAAATGCAAACTCTTGAGTGCTCTGGAGTAAGAAGTTATGAGAATAAAGCAAGAACAACTTGATCACCTCTCTGCCCTTTTTATACTGCTGGTGTTTATTTTTGTCATATCGGCCTTGATGTGATATCCAGCTGACACGAATACGTTTTCAATCAACAATCTTAAATGTAGTGAAATGTGACCTGAAACCTCAAGAATTTTCATAATACCTATTGTTCCATGAAAACTAGCTCTTTCTCAATTGAATTAGCTAGAAATAATTCTGATGTATTTTGCTTCAACAGTGTGAAGTGGAAGAAGGGTGCTTTTAGCAGAGCCAAGAAGTTTGGTTTAAAATAGCTCAGTATGGGGAGGCACAGTATCTTAATTTAGCCAAATGTTAGGGTGGCTCAAACACTTCACAAGTTTTTTTTGATTTTCAAGTTTTCCCTAATTTCAGCTTCTGCCCAGTCTAAATTTACTTGCCGTTTTATGTAAGAGGCGAACAATATAATCTGCCAAATTTTGTTTATAATGTGCAGGCATCTGATTTCCTACAGTTTCCTACAAATTATGAGGGCAAGCTTAGAGAAGACCCTCATTCCCTTACTGCAGCAGCGCAGTTCCAGTGCAGGCTGGCAGGGAGAGTGCTGAGGGAAATTGGAGCCTGGTAGTGTGACACATATGTACCCTCACACCATCCCAGAGTGTCCTTGCTGCCCGGACAGCCCTTCCTAACTTCTCCCTTTCTCTGCAGCTCCAGCAAAGGTGAACCTGATCTCAGTCTGCATGAGTTACTTTGTATTTTTAGCAGAATATGGGAAAATTATGATGTTGGAAGTTCAAGAGAAGGAAAATGAAGGAGGAAATTATAGTACACATTTCCTTTCAGTTGCAGGCAGTGAAGTAAAGTAAGTAGTCTTTTACTTGTGACTGTTTGACTGGGAATACCTCTGGGCTCTGTAAGCAGTAGCTGTGGTAAGTTCCCTAAGTGCAGGCAGAGATGATCCTCCAGAACTCCTCCAGGACGTTTGGAGTACCTTGAGTTATACCCTTAATTACAATACTTAACAAAGAAATATCATTTTTTAATCCAGTAACTGTGTTTGCTTGGACATCTCTTAGTGATTACACCTGATATAGTCTAGCATCAGGCACGAGTGCTTGGATAAATCATTAACAAGGAATATAAGTATTGTAGGCAGAAACCAGAATTATAAATCAAGACTTTGGCAAATGATGGACCACCAAACTGCAGGAAGACTTTTTTTCCACCTCATTTGCCACAGGTAAATTCAAGAAAGCAGAGCTAAAAAAATTATATTCTGCATTCCGGTATTCTATATGCTACACTATATCAAGGTACAGATGTGGAAAAGCTCCTCGGTCATACTGTGCCATTTTGAAGAGCAGCAAGCAAAGAAGGGAATAAGCAGAAATAAGAAATACCATGGAAATTTTAGTCTTGTGATATTAAATCCTAACTGTAGCACATGCTAGCCTGTGTTGTGCTTCATTCTTACTTTTCCCTTTGCTTTGAGAAAAGGTACCAAGCAAATCCAGATCTGATATTTCCACAAAGCAGAATCTGTGCTCTGGGCTTTCACTCAGAACTTTCTATCACTGTTGCTCATTAGCATGGGGTTAAATAAAAAAAAGACCTGCTGGAATATTATGAAAAAGGAGTGATGACAAGCAAAATATGTGGCATACATCACATGAAAAGTAGTTAAGGACAATAAGTATAAGCAATAAACTTGGAAGCCACAGCATCAAATCCCGGACAAATATTTATACACATGTATACAAAAGCATATTTTACATAATTATCAACCAGGAAGGATGTCCTTTGTCAGGTTTCTTATTTTTCAACCTTTGAACTGTCACATGGATCCTTTCCAAGTGGCATATCTACCCTGTATAGTTCTTTCAAGAGTAACTGTGCTATTTACACACTCTGGGAGTCGGAGACCGTACTTCTATATCAAGTTTGTTTCCTTGGCTGCCTCGGTGGGATAGGAGCCTGATGGGTATTTCTCTTCAGAATGTGTGAGCAGCATAATAATTAGTCCTGGCCAGAAAACAAGCACTCAGTTTCATGAAAGTTGGTGGGGTTACTGCAGTTGCTTTTCCTCAGCACTAAAATTAAACTCTGAAAAATATTTTGCCCAAGAAAAATACAGCAGCCGCATCAGAAATCACGGTGAGATCCCTCACTGATAGGATGTAGCTTTGGCATAGGTCTCACTTACTTCTCATAGCTGTTCCTTTTTTTTAGAAGTTACATATATCTCAAGTAAAAAATACTTTCTTCATAGCCTGATTCACGTTGAATGCATGATTCATTAAACACGGGTCTCCCATTCTGCAGGGCAGTGCTTTAAACAATGTGTTTGTGAATGTGTTTTTGAATGTGTTTTTATTTAGTTTGCCTAGTACATAATTTTCCAACATGTCTAAACAGAAAGGCATAACAAAAAGTGATGAAGGTCATACAGAAGAATGAAGCAATCTGTTTCCCCAAGCTGTTCTGGAGCTACTCCATAGATTGTATCCCCACTCCATCTCCCTCCCCACCAGCAGTGTTTTTGTATGTAGGGGGTCTATTGGCACGTCACCTTGTTCCATGACAAAATCAATGCACAAACCCCAGCTATGTCTTTGTTTTGTTATGAACCCACCACTTTGGCATAAAAAAAGAAATTGGGAACCGAAAAATACAAAAAGTAGCACTGGTGCCAGCAGGAAATCCTTCAGGAACAGCAAAGCTCAGGATGCACCTGTAGAAGTGCCAGACTCTCCAAGCAAAGGGGAAAGAGCAGATGGACTGACACTCAAGGGAAACAAGCGCGGAAATGGGAGAAAGATGCTTGGTCTAAAGAGGGAGAATGTTTTGGACCCTTTGGGATCTTTGTTTACAATAAACAAAGAAAAAAAATCAGTAGTTTGTGTCTGTTATCCTGTCTCACACTGAACAGCACCACTAGTGCTGTCGTGGCTCCAGCTGGCTACGAGTGAGCTCACACAGCAACAAGGGGGGAAACAAGTGCTGATCAGATAGACAAGGGAAAAGAACTAAACTGTGCAAATCTGTGTGGAGAAAGATTAAGGAATAGCTGTTCCCAAACACCTCTTCCCTGGACATGAGGTTTAAGTGCCCATCCAATCGTATTGTTATTAATTGTGAAGCAGTCAAAACTGCAGAACAGTTTGAAACATCTGAGCTGAAGGACAGATGTCACGACTTCTGACAATGCTCAGAGTACATCTATGTTCTTGTCAGTGTATCTTACCAGTTATTTGATCCTACTGAAATAATCTAGAAAGAAGCATCTTAGAATCTAGTAATTCCAGTGATATTTCAGCAGAGCACAACACTAATGGAGAAAGCAAGTCATTAATTCAGGGATTTTAAGGTCTGGTGTAGGCCTTGAAAAGCTCTCATCTCTTCTGCTGTCTCCATAGCCTGGTGTGAAACAATGACATATAAAAGATTGGAGCTAGTTTTCTATGGGATGTTTGGTAGGAGATTCCTGATCAGAAAAGTTTTTAGAAAAAAATAACATATATATATATATATATATATGGATTGATTGATTGATTTATACATACATACATACAAATCAAAAAGCCTTTCAAAACATCCCTGAATCATTGCTAAAAGAAGAACTTCATGGAAAAATAGGCAAATAGAAATAATGATCCATACAAAGACAAATAAATCTTACCTATCCAGGCAATCAGAAAGATTTTGTTAATTTACTGATCAGGAAAATGTAGCACTTACTGATAAAGGATTTATCCTCCATACTAAAACAGAGTGTTTGAAGAGAGGAAAATAAACTTTGCTTCCCTTCTTTCTCCAGTTGTGATCTCCCATTTGAAAGTAAGGACATTTGAAGGACAAAATAAGGTGAGATAGAGACTGTGCTCTAGGACTCAAGGACTCAGGGGAACTGAAGAGTCTACAACTTTTTGTGCTTTACCAAATCCCTAATGGAAATAACTTTGGGGGGAAAACCCACAGAAAAAGTAATTGATCCTGACATAACCATGCTGTAACTCTTTACCCCAGTTTCCCTTAATCTCATCTATTGCTTCCAAAAATACTAGTCTAAGAGGAAGCATTTCTTAAAATCTTTCTGAAATGAATAGTGGATGAGCGTCAGAAACCTTGTTGTAAAAACCTGAACATCACAGATCTCCATGAGACACTTCTGTATGCTATAGCAACAGATCTCCCAAAAGAATATCCAGAAAGTTATCCAGAAGGGATAGTTTCTTCTACTGTCTAGAGGGCGTTGTCAAGAAGATGAAGCCATACTCTTTTTCAGGGATGCACAGTGAAAAGACTAGGGGCAATGGTCAAAAGTGAAGCAAGTGAAATTCTGCTTAAACATTTAAAAAAAAAAAAAAAAAGGCACCATGAGAGTGGCTTCCCAGAGAGGTTCTGGATTCTTCATCCATGGAGGTTTCCAAAACTCTACTGAAGGACACCTTGAGCAACCTAATCTAATATTGAAGTTAGCTAGGATTTGAGCAATGATTTGGTGGTGGGACCAGATAATCTGCAGACATCCCTAAATCATTCAGTGACACTGTGAGTATTCCAAGAATGGCAATGACTAAATGTTTTCTTTCTGGAAGGGCCTGTCATACATAGTACTGTCTCCTTTTTTCATTCCATAATACTAATGCATAACTGGAAAGGCAGCTTTATTTTTATAACATCGTTAGCTGTTTTAGCAGTCAGTCATATTGGGTGCATTTATTTTAAAACCTGAGGGCTAAAGGTTTTATCAAGGACATTTAAAATTCTAATTTAGGCAGCACAAATAATATTCCACAGCATGCTGGATTCACAGTCTGCCTTAAGCTACCTGGAGATTTGCTCGTATATGTAGTTTACTTCAGCTATTGTCTTCAAGGAAAGATTAGCTAGATTTCCATCTGTCTTCAATTCCTTAAAAACCCAGTATCTTTGGGGACCTGTCTGATAAAGTTCTTTAGTTCCATTAATTATTCACTAAAAAGCATTCTGCAAATCATTATCACAAAATTATAGCTTCAGAGAATTATACAGG